TGCTCCCAAAAGGTAGGACAGTGGCACAGAGGCAGCTGCAGAGCAGCATGTAGTTATCCTGCAGGAATGTGTTTGTGATGAATACTCTGCAGAGGGCACACATTGTCCAAGCCTGTCCTGGTATGTGGCAAAACAGCTGATACACTGAGGTGCAGCCTTGTCCTGCCATGGCCCCACCTATATCAGCTCCAGCACTGGCTCTGTTGGACTCTTCCTGCTGAAAAGGTGCAACTTTTCCTTCACTCATGGGGGGAGGAAAGAAGACCATGAAATTGTTATTTAATGATTCTGGGAGTCACCTCCCAAATGGCCCTTGGGTTTTCATTCCTATTTCTGTATCTTGTCCAAGGCCTGTTTAAGGAACATGAAGTACAGACCCGCCCTGGTCCCCTCGGTGAGCCTGTGGCTGCCAATACATGCCCACACGTGTTTCCTCTGGCCTCGTAAATCTTGCATGCCTTTCTCCGCTATTTAAGTTAGATGGATAGTAGGTGCACTCTGCACAGCTTACCCTTTGGCTAGGACACGGAGGGAAGCAGGTACAAAGCTCCTCAAGCAAGAGTAGGAATTGAATGTAGCTTTCCCTTTTTATTTCCCTCAGTCTCCAGTGCTCAATGAGTCTGTCCAGGTGGCCCGTCCTCCTTGCTTTATTCTCTGAAAGATCATAGAAGTGGGAAATCAGATATGTTTGCCATCCCTCCCTTTCATATGTGCTGTCTCCAGGCAGCTTCCTCAGCTGTCAGCACTCCTTCACAGTCACAGACACTTCTACTTTCCTACCTGTGGCAGCAGAGCAGTTGGGTGCCTGGGTGTCTTCATTTGTGCTGTACAGGGAACCCACATGTGCTGTATAGGGAACTCATTCCCTCATTCCCACCAAAGCACACTCAGGATTTCACACCAGCAGCATGAATACTAAATATTTCTGAAACTAATTTTTAAGTTGCTAAGCCCTTTGTTGCACTTTTGCTTTTGCCCTTAAATGCCCTTAAATACTTTGCTGATATTAAAGTTACCAGCATTTCACCACCAAGTGTCTAATTAAAATCTTATATATAGCCATGGAGAAATCCATATAGCCTACAGGGTTTTTTCTGTTATTTTTAAAAAGTGTCCTGAAAATTAACTTAAACAGAGGAAGTAGAAGTTATTGCAGAAGTTATTGGAGTAATTGCTACTGCTCCATCTTGGCTGTGGGACATGGCACACTCTGGACAAATGGCCAAAGACAATATGATTTGTCTGGAGAAGTTTCTGGATGGATAAAAAATGTTCATTTAGAAGAATGGGTGATTAGTCTAAATTTGAAGGACATAATGAAACATGTCTTGGGTGCAATAATTGCTTGTGCAAGAAAATGTGTGGCAAACATTCTTCATTCTTACTCTCTGGAAAGTTTTCAGGCCATCTGCACTTTCCTGGACATCTGCTGATTTGCCTACATGCAAGTATAAAAATCATGTTATCTTTATTTTATCTTTAAGGCTCATGGTAAGGATGTTGCAGGTAGCTGCTGAATCCAGAGGAATCTCCAGCCCAGGGTTCTTTCTTGCCTTCCAATTGATGAGACCCCAGAGGTCTCCCTCTCCTGTACCACAGATATATCCACTTCTGTTCCCGTTTGTAGGGAGGGCCGGTGGGGAGGCTGAGGTCCCTGTGTGTGTACGAGCACACACCCTCGGCACGCCTCTACCACATGCACCTTAAGTGCAGATAACCCAGTCCTGCTGCTCCTCTCTGCTGGTCCGGATTGGGGTTCCCTACAGAAACCCCACACCCTCGGTGTCAGGTTCATAAGCTCAGCCACAGTCATGGCCCCCCAAACATCAGCATGGCCTTCAAATCTATCTGATATCCCCCTCCAGACCTGGACCCTCTAACCCGGAATTATGGGTCTCCTCGATACCAACCTGGGTCGAAGCTTGCTCGTGAGGTTTACGTACACAGCCCCAGGGTTAAGCTCACGGGGCACACGGACCTGCAGTCCCCTCTCCTCGGCTGCTGCCACTCACACCTTCTGGCACCCGCACACAGCGCTGAAATCCGCCCCCGGGGCAGGGACGACCGCGGCGGTGGCCCGGGCTGAACCGCGGGGGTGTGTTTTAAGGCTCCGTCGCCGGGGCCGCCCCCCCCCCTCCGTCGGTCGATGCTGCCCGACTCCCCTCCAGCCGCTCTTCACCCGCCCCGGCCCGTCGGGAGCGGCTGCAGCACCGCCCGCCCCGCCATGGGCTGCTCCAGCAGCTCCCACAGCCGCCCCCAGGAGCTGCCGCCGCCGCGGGGTGAGCGGGGCCAGGGTGAGCCGGGACGGGATGAGCTGGGCCAGGGAGCGCAGGCGGGTGCTGAGGGTGGGAGGCCACGGTGCTCTCAGCCGCGGGGTGGTCCCGTCCCGTCCAGCCGCGGGTGCACGACCCGCAGAAATGCTGCGGGGCAGGAGCCTGTCGGGCTTCTCCCGGCTTTTAATTCTGCCTGAGCTGTGGATGGAGCTGCGCTCTGTGAGCGATGCTTCGAAACTGCTGTTTCTTGTGAATGAATGCCTAAGTCCCCTTCCGCTCCTTTTCGCCGGCTTTTTTGTTTGTTTGTTTGTTTTTTAATTTCCAGACAGGTCGGCTGTTGGCCGTTTCGTGTAGGACCTATTCAACCCGGTGCCTTCCCCCCCCCTCCTTTAAAAGAATAGCGAACTAGTAATACCTGACCCCACTATCCTTTCTGGTTTTTGACAAAACCCACCCCCGACACCGTTTGCAGCATCGGCAATGCTCCTGTGGCTTTGACTGGCTTAAGTCACAGCAGACTTATTTTGTGTGCAAGGTGTATTTGTAGGATGTTGCATAAGAATATCCTTGCTATTCAGTGGAAGTAAAATAAAACTTTGTTTCTATATTCATCACACTTAGCTCTTTGCTCCAAGGATGGTTTGGAAACACTTTCATATGAACCTGCATGCTACAGTCACAGATATTGGCTTCTCGAGAAACATACTTCCTGAAGGCATATACATAAATGTTGTTTGCACTCAATTTTGCTGCATTTCTTTCTTATGTTCTCGCGTTATGAGTACCATCTGTTGCTGTTATTTTGGCTGCAGCATCCATGTTTTCTGTATGGGTTTATTTTCCATGGCAATGCTGTGGCTTGTGGCTGCAGAGACGATAGCAAGTTGTTTGGGGTGAGTGTTGTCGGTGCCACTACAGAGCCAACATACATCTGCAAACTGAGGAGCCCAGCTGAAAGTACCCAGCAGAAATCTCTTTATACTGTGCCTGCTGTCTTGTTCACCTGGTCAATGTACCAATTCCTCTGCCTTTCCATCCTCCACTGAAAGATGTTCGCACAGGAACACTGAAGGGCTCAGGGAAATAACTAAAGTAATTTATTCTGAGTATTTTAAGAATTCTGCCTAGACACCTGTTCATGTCAGGATAGGTTATGAAATGTAATAAATATGTAAATTAATGTCATGGTAAGGATGAAGTGCAGTTTGTAATTACGGATGAAAGATCTCCATTAATTGGGCAGTTACCAGCCAGATATGTTAATAATTTTAAATCTAGTTTAATAAGAAAGGACAATTTGAAAAAAAACTTATCCAAAGGTGTAAATGTGGGAAAATGTACATTTAATGTATAAATTTATTTAAAATAAATTTAATTTTATTAAATGTATTTAATAAAAACAGAAATACAAGGCTTTTCCTAAAGGAAAGAAAGAAGGCAAAGGGAAAAATACTGTTGCCATGGCCCACTTAAATTCACTGTGTTTGTCATTGTTTTTCCAGCTGAAATTGTCTACAGCAGGGAAAATAAAAATTATAAATTTAAAAATAAAACAAAACTAGCCAGAATCCTAGGAATGTTGATCACCACATGATGTTCATTCTTTTTGGGGATAAAGGTATTGAACAGATTACTGTGAGGATTTTTTCTTCCATATTAGGGAATTCTTTGCATTTCAGATGAGAGCAGAGGAATGCTTCCAGGGTTTCCAACAGTGCAGATCTCATGTTGCATGGCAGTATTTTATAAATCCAATTTATATAAAACATCTTGATGAAGAGAAGGCTTGCTGGAAGTTACAAGGCTGATATTTATAGAAGCTGCAGGAGATTCCTAGTAATAATAGGTCTGAGTTGGGTTTTTTTTTTAGTGCTAACACCAATTGAAAACATTCTAATTTTAATGGCTCATTTATTTCTGTCCATAAGTTTTAAATGCTCCTGACATCAAGCAAGGTGAAGGCAGTTAGAAGTGTCCAAAGAGATGAAAAATAAGAATATGAAAAGATTAATTCTCTGGTCTCTGAGCATACGTTGCTTTTTTTTAATCACTGCTTAGAGTAGCTTTAGGTTAAGATTTACTTGCTGTTATTCCAATGGGGTATCTGTTTCACCTTGAGCTTCGTGTTAGGAAAATGAGTGCCTGGAAGACAAGGTGTGATAGAGATCTAGAGAAGGTAATCAGGGGACATATATTTGCTGTTTCTTGTAACACAAGAACTGTCACTCAATGAGATGACTTGCATCAGGCTTAAAACCAGCCAGAATGTGTTTTGCAGGGGGTATAAGTGGGCTGCAGCTCTCATTGCCACTGGTCATGGTGGAGGCTGAGAGTAAATGGATTGAAAAGGGGCTTGGGCAGGTTGACAGAGGAATGTCCACTGATGGACTGAAGCTCAGCCCCGTGGGTTGGGACCATCTGTCCTTTCCTTGTCCCTTGGCAGCTGTCAGAGGCTGGTGCTGCCCTTTGGGGGCTCTGTGGTCTAACATGTGTAGCTGAACTTATCTCCTGTTGTTCGAATTGTGTTATAAATAGCTGTATCTATGTGGATTTGGAGGGCACGGCTGGAACTTGGATGGGTTTACAGATCTTGGGACAAATGAGATTTAATCTATGTTGTAGTCAAAGTTGCTTTCTGTCCATCTTGACAGTCCAGATTCCCAGTTCTTGCTCTTCTTCCTGCTTAGCAATCCTTCCCTGTGTCTCTAGGCACATGCTGACTAGGTGACACTTGCTGGCAAGGTGTTTTGCTTGAATGCCTCAAAAGAACTGTGAAGTTACTTTAAAGCAGCAGGATTCAAGCAGCTGTTTTAAGAGTAGGAGGTATTACATTTTTTTGCTGTTCATCTACGTCTGTATGAACACGCATAGATGTGTTCATCTGTGAACAGTATCAAGGTTCTGCTTACTGGCTTTGACAACGCAATCATAATTTTCTCAGAAAATAACACTTTTCCAGTTGTGTAATTATTATATAAACAGATTTCATACATGAATTACTAGGGTTTTCATCCTAGCATTCCTTTGAAGAAGGTTAACTGCAAGCTCTTGTCAAATTGAATTTAATCAGAACATTATTAAGTAAGTCTGATAGGTAGGTATAGCTCATTTTGAGTCTTCAACTTTCATACTTAAATACCTGTCAGAGTAATTTTGTCAGTTCTTTATTCATAATTTTTTTCTGCCAAAACCCATTGCTTTACTAGCCAATAAGTTGATGAAAGATGAAAGAAGTGGAAGTTAATTTGTTTAGGCTTCCTGTTATTGATTTTTTTATTAGACAGAGCATACCATGAATGGTAGTTTAGTATTGAAAAAGACAGAGAGATTGGTTTTTGTTTTAAGAAGTGGGCACTGCTCATCCTCCAGAATGAGAACATTGAGCCCACCTGGAGGCACCACCAGAATTTTCCCACGTGCAGCCCAGACCAGCAGCTCCCTCATACTCATCACATTGATCCTGTGCTTGGTTTGGGGCAGGATAAGGTGCTTCCTTGCATAGTGTCCCATCACCTGCAAACCACCTGCACACTTCAGATACATAAAGCAAAATGTAATAGGACAGTGACCTGTAAACAGGTCAGCTCTCTTCATACAAAAATATATGATATGCTTCAAATGAAAACTTCCTTTTAGTGTAAGAGCAGCACCATCTTCTATGGGATATTTGTGGATATGTGCAGCACACTTGTGAGAGGGTATGTTCCTAGCCAGGAGGGAGCTCTTTGACAGGTAGTGCTTATACGGTTCACTGTGGGTTTAGTTTTCATTGAGCTTACTACTCACCAATTCTCTTTTTTCTTTCTTTGCCCTTCTGCAACTAAAAGCATCATCAGGTGCAAACACCTTGACTGCAGACGATCATGAAACCATAGCTGACCAAACACAGTTGGACCCAGAAGAGGATGTGAGCCTTGCTTCTGAGGAGACAAACCTAGGGGAGCATCTGCCAGGAGAGGAGGCTGCAGCCATGATTCTGGACGTTGAGGAGAAGATCGATTCAGTCAGTAAAAGGGAGGAGCCGGAGGGCACCGAGCCCCTGCCTGCAGGAGCAGAGGAAAGCTCTGAGCTGCCTTCTGTGTGGAGAGAGGAGGGCAATGGGCCTTCACCTTCAGCACCAGAAGATGTTGGGGCACCATCACCAGGACCAGCTGAGGACAGTGGGCTGGTAGAGGACAGTGACAGCTCTGTAGTGGAAGTCATGGATAAAGTACATATTACTGAAGAGGACCATCTCATTGAGGGTAATATTTGTACTTTCATAAATTCAGGAGACCGAATTTTGCCTCCAGAGACATCTGTGTGGGTACTTTTGACTTTACTAAGAGCCTCGCAAGAGCTTCTGGAGACAGAATTTGGTCCTGGGAGCCTGTACTATGTGGAGCGTAGAAGAATGTGGGTGAGCAAGTCTCAGATTTACAAGTCCAAGCTGTAATAAATTTAATCAGCATTTCCAGTCATTATCTCTGCTACTTCATTTCATGTCCTTTTTGTTCTTAGCAGGTAAAATGCCCCACCATACCCCTCATTTAAAACATTGTGTCTCTGTATAGCTCAGACACGTTCCTTAATATTTGCAGAGCCCAAAGGCTCTATTACTTAGTCATATGTATTAACTATAAAGCAACTCTCCCTGGGCACATAAAATTGGAGGCTGCCTGGATGTATAAGAAAAAGCATCTCTTTGATGTATGCCTGGCATATCCAGTCTGTCCTAGAGCCTTGGCTACTAGACAAGCTAAATAGAAGTAGTAGCAGAGGGACATTGGGCTGGGCTTTCAAAAAATGTCTGGAGATGACTAGCGGTGGAGGAAGGCTGCATGAGGAGGCAGTGGTGTCTGAGATGGCAGATATTTCCTTGTGCAGTGAGAGGGACCTTTAGTGGGAGATGTGCTTGTTCCTGAAAATTGTAGGCTATGCTCATCTTTGGGTTGGTGCCCAAATGACATGGACCGCACATGCAAAAGGTGAACGCTTCACAGGAGGAGTTGAATTTCTCTTGAATTGTGCAAAGTAGCTTGATAAGGAATCAGATACGTCCTGGGGGAGCTTTTCTCAGGGAACAAGCAAGGGAAGCACAAAGAGGAATATTTCTCTGCAGGGAAACATGGTACCAGCAGCCTTCCTCACTCCACATTTGCCTTGAAGAAATGCAAGATACAGGAGAAGAACTGGTCTGCGTGAAGTCCAGAACCAGTTACACACACTACCACTAATCCTGTGGCTTTGCTCTGCATGTCTCTGAACTGGCTGTATAAATCTCACTCTTTGCATTCTAGTAGCTGAGCAGGGTGGTTGACTTACTTTATCCTCTCCTGTGTCTCTCCACAAAAGAATTTTGAAGTTTCCTCTACATAACATAGGCATCTATCCTTAGGCATACAGCCTCATTTTATGTAAGCAGTAAATGACAGGATGCTCACCTGTTAAACACACAGTCTTACCCAGTTGCAAACTCATTAATCACCATTTCTAAGCCTCAGGGCAGAATGCTGAAGGCAGAGCAGCACACACTGAACATTGCTCTGCCACCTCATGTCTGTGCAAACACATTTACAATTCACTGTTTGGCTAAAGATGAGTTGTAGGGCTTTGAGCACCAAACGATGTGTGCAGGGCCAGTGAACAAGACTTTGGGAAAAAGAGTTTTGCTCCGTTTACTTCCAAGCTTGATGTAATACCTTAACTTGTGTGCATTCTCTTTCCATGAGGCATATGATGAAGAGTTTTTACATTTTTATGCTATGGTGCATAAGATACTTAGCATTTGTTTCACTTTTCTTTATGCTTCCATAGCTGTGTGAGGAAACGGATCAGGCAGCAACTTCCCAAGGAAAGCACAAATTCAGCCAGACTGGCACGTTACCATGTTTTCTATTTCTGTTTTGTTCCAAATGCAAATAAAACTGCTCATACATAAAATAAAATCCAGGAAAAATAATTTGAACAGAAATAGTACTCATGATGTCTTTTGGATATAGCATCAAGGGGATTTTGTGAAAGCATAAGGAGAACTTCATGGGCATGAGGCATGCATATAGCTGGATGGGATCATCCTGTTTGTTGCCTATGGATTCATTCAGAGGGTACCTTGGTAAGGGGCATTGGAGAGCTGACAAAGCAAAATTAGGTTTACAGAAGGGAGCTGGGGCGCTTGGTGCTTTTCTCAGTGGATGTTAATTTGATCTCCATGGTTACTATTCCCAGGTGAGACGGGAGAACAGGTGGAAACTGAGCTGCTCAGTGAGACAGTAAGTGGAGGGCCTGAAACAAAAGAAGAAACAGGAGAAGCTGTGGATAGTGCAGCAGCAACAGAGATGGGTACGTTGACAGAGGAGGGAAGGACCACATGGGTTATTGTTTAGGAGACAGAAAATACTGTGCTGTCCTTAATGAGCACTTCCTGTCATTCCCCTACCGGCAGGCAGCTGCTTTCTGCATTTTAACACGAGAGCATCATAAATACTTTTGTTTACATTAAGAGGCATTTTTGGAAGCAATCAATTGGAAGTCATGCTTTTTACATGGGTCGTCTTTATACAGAGATACATTATCCAGCTTTGGAGAGAATGCTAGAGTGTGACATGCAGTCTTGGAAAATAAAAACCTGTGTTAAAATCATGACTCTGCTCATTATTATTTGCAGGCTTCTTTTTGTGAGCTAAGCCTTAAAGCTGCTTTGTAATTTCCATTCTATGTCAGTCGTTTTAGATCCCCTCGTTCTTCATATCAGTTGGAATCAGCAGTGTGGTCCTGCGGTGAAAGCACATTGCACAACAAATGCAGTCACACGGTGGGAAGAAAAAGTCAGAAGCCAAATAAAGTGCCTTTGAAAATTTGTCACACCAGTGAAGAGAAAAATTCGAGGGGATGGGATTATCCCTCTGGCAGACTTTGAAGTTATGGTCACAATTCTGTCAACACAGTCTTTCTGCAAAAGTTATTTCTTTTTCTTCCTCCACGTTCACTAAGAATCCCACACTCAAGTCCATCACATAAGGTGATTACATGCCCCAGAAGACAGAATTGGAATAATACAATTATTTAAGTTGGAAAATAACTTCTAAGATCATTGAGTCCAACTGTTGACCCATCACTGCCAGGTCCACCAGTAAACCATGTCCTTAAGTTCCACATCCACATGTTTTTTAAACACTTTCGGGGATGGTGATTCCACCACCACAGATTACATTGTGGTATTGCTGAAATGTGGAAAGGGATGAGCAGGCAACACAGGCACCTCCTCTCTTCCCCTGTTGAACTTATTGCATGATGAAACCATCTTTCCCCTCTCCCCTCTCTCCTAACCACCATATGTAGCTATGCTCAAAATCTCTCCGGGATAGTGAGTATTTCTGTAATTGGGGACAGCTTTAGCAGAAAGGGTAGTAGATACCTTACACCAGTGCCTTTCATGACTTCCAAACGAACCTCTTGCACCTGGGATGAGAAGTTTTTGGTTCCTTCCCAATGCTAGCATACACCAGTATATGCTAGTATATGTCAGCTTTGAGCTCCCAGCAGCAAGCCAGCTTGTTCCACTTGTGCTACAAGACTGAGGAAAATGTTTTTTAGCACAAGCACTGCAGCCTGGAAGACCAGTAGGGTGATGGTCCAGCAGTTTGGTCAAGGCATAAGTGCCTTTATGACCTTGTGATTACTCAAGTAAAATTAGATCAACAGTGATAAAACAAAAAAAATTACTCACCTCCCTTTAATTTTCATGTTTGAGAGTTGCTCCCCTTTATACTGCTACTTATTAAGCTAGCCTGTGAGGACAAGCAGATGTTGGCCACTGACAAGTGTGCTTTTGCAGAATTTTTAGATTTATGCCATATAGCTTTGCTTATGAAGTCAAAACAATTCTGTTCAATCAACTTGTTTTTAATGTCTTGCCCATATGCTTTTGCAAAGAATTATCTGTCTGTGCTGAGTTCAGCAAAGCACTTGCTTCTGGGAGAATCAAAGAACAGTTTAAAGGACAGCTTCCTGCTCCTGAAGAGTAAGAGAATCATAGAAAGGCTTGGATTGGAAGCGACCTTAAAGATCATCTCGTTCCAGCCCTCCTGCCATTAGATCAGGTTGCTCAGGGCGCCATCCAACCTGGCCTTGAATACTTCCAGAATCCAGAAATTTCATCATGTGATGATTACAGCTTTATTGAAATACTTTCTGCGTTTTCCCGTTTTGACAATATTCTTCTCAACAGTTTTGTATGGAAGCAGAAAAAGCAGCCCTGCTTCTGTGTCTGTAATGCATTTCAGATGACAGGAGTGCATTGATGCACACAGCTCAGAGAATGGCTGCGGGCGAGAAAACAATGTTAAGAATGGAATAGCGACCATTTAACCTGGGATGCTGTTGTGTAAGGGAGCAATTCTTTCATCTTGAAAGGATATTGAAGAACTAAAACAAGATTCTGGGCAGGGAAACAGAATGGCTTAAGGGAATGAAAAAATTCTTACTTTGAGAGACATCAAAAACATTCAGAGCCTTGCCTCTGAGAGGGTACGACTAAGAGGATATGAGCTTTTCCTAGTGCAAAAAAATATTGCTCTAAAGGTAGCTGCAATCCATCTCTGAATGAATGCTCAGTGACATGCTAAGTATGTTGAATTAAAAAAACTCAAAACCATTAAAGGTAGTTGGTTATTTTTCATGCTACATTAGCTGTCTTCACGCAAATTAACTGTCTTTGTCACAGTCAGTCACTGCAGTTGGATGTCTGTCACTCACCTTCATTCCCATGCAAATTTCCCACCTTCCCACCCTCATGGAACACCACTATTCACTATGAGGAAGTCCCATGTTCTCATGTTCCCAATCTATCCTTGCAGCATCTTCTGGCTGGGAAAGAAGTACTTTGAGTTTGGGCGGTCTGACACTATGATTTCAACCAATCATCCCCTTGGACACTTTTTTTTTAGCTATCAAGGGAGCCAGTGAGCCTCGGAGCTTCTCAGCTGCTGATGGTTAACATCAGTAGTTTCAGGGGCTGGTTCCCCAGCCATACTTTATCACGGAATGGCTGAGGTAGAAAGGTGCCTCTGAAGCTTGTCTAGTCCTGCTCAAAGCAGGGTCAGCTGGAACAGGTTGTCCTGTTGGGTTTTGAATCCCCAAGGATGGAGATTCCATAAATTGTGGGCAGTCAATTCTCACCAGTCAATTGTCCTTAGAGAAGAAAAAAAAGGAAAATATTTTCTTATATTTAATACTCAGTTACTTGAATTTATGCCCTATGTCTCTTGTCCTTATTTAAGATTTAATGTCCATGAGATGCCTACCTCTATGTCAGATATGACTGAAAGGATCTAGTGATTTCAAAAGTTGTTAAGAGAAAAGGCAGCAGGGTGGGGAGGAGCACGAAACTGTTGCAGCGTAACACAGAGGTGATGTTAATGTCTGTGAGAGGCAGACTGTATGAACATGATGGGGCAAGAGGAAGCAGAGCCAGTGGCTGCTTGTGGTCATTTCAGGTCCACACAGAACATTCTTATAGATCTGGGAGAAGAACAGATACCCCCTTCATCCTGTGATGCTTCCAGGGAACTTTCACTTTGAATTCCTGTGAGATGTTGTGAATATCAAGTTGTACCTTCAATTAATTGCTAAATTAATTTTTCCATGTGTTTCAGAGACAGCTAATAACAAGGAATAGAAGTTATGTCTCTATGAACATCCTCTTCTTGGGCCTGCTCTTCTGTCCACATGAACATTTTAAAATTTTATTGGGTTGGGAAGATAAAAAAGCTTTTATGGATTGAGCCACAAGCTACAGACACATGAATAAAAAGCATCAGAAAAAGTTTTACATAATGTAAGTATTCTTTAGTTCAAGCTGCCAAGATCTCAAGTGTTTGAAATACCTAAGCTTTCACCACCCTGCCACAGAGTGCCTTTTGTACACAGTGGGATAATTTTCCAACAGCAGTATAACCATTCAGTTTTCAATTAGGATTTTTTTCTAAGTTCAGATAACTAACTTCAAACCTTTTATACCTTCAATCAGCCTTATATAGGATAAAGAACACAGTGCTTTTTTTTTAAGTGACTGTATGCAGGCAATTTCTCTGAGTGCCTGGACTACCAGTGTACGGAGCTGCTCAAGTGTATAGATTAGAGGACTTAGAGGACTGGGAGATGAAAGTGCCCATTTACTAGGCTGTGACTAAATGCAGAGGTTAGTTTTCCAGAAGATAGAAGATAACAGGGTGCATTGTCCAGGACCCAAGTGGTATGTGCTGCTCACTCCCCATTTTTAAACATAAATTTATTGAAAAAATACTAGTACAATATATGTGATGACTTCTGCAAAAACAGGGAGAAGAGGGCATTTTTAACTGGGTAGGATGTTTTAGTAATATAAATCCTAGAAGATAATTTCACAGCTATTAGCATTCATGGTGATTAACAACCTGTCTTTAGCTGTGTAGCTCTCTTCATATGCATTTGTGGCTTCTAAAATAGATTTCTAACAAGAGACAATTATAAGCCTGTTCCCAAAGGAGAGGACATCTATTATATTTCCCTGTAGAGCTGTCCTCCTGTATGGAGGAACATATCAGGAACTGTATGGGTTATTTTCCAAAATGCTAAATAATCATTTTGGAGCTGAAGCTGAATAGCAAAACTTTCAAACAAATTTCCTGTGAAAGTGGGTCCTAAATATGATTAGTGTTATGGATCAGACAGAAAGTAGAAATTTGTTCTGATGGTGAATGCTGCAAAGAGACTACATATCGTATATTATTGGGGACTGTGTTAACAGGATGCTCTAGCATAAGGAAGTAGAACATAGAAAAAAAGTCAATTACCTAAAAAGAGCAAGCACATGTTGCTGTTTTATTAGCTTTATTGTACAAAAGGACTTAACAAAATTTTTTACTGTCACTAGTGAATTATATAAAGCCCCTCTAAGAGCTAAATTTTGTGCTGCATGCACACATCTGACTCCAGCTGATTCTGGTTCATATCAAATAACCTAGTTGATATCCTTGGGCTATCAGCCTTTTGTGTAAGCTGATATAACTTGGCTATATCACTAAATCTAAGGTTTTCTGCTTTGCAGCACTCTTTTGAACTTGTCAGCTTCATTTAATGTCAGCATCACATAGGCAACACCATACACTTTTAGAACCCAAATGCATATTTACTATTTTTTTAGGGATTTTTTGCTAGGTGGAAGTTGCTTTTATTTTATTTTTATTTTTACTAGCTTTCTATAATAGAGAAGCTAAAATGAGCAGCTAATTCTATTAAAAATTTGTGAGATCTATTAAAAATCCAAAGAGAGGTAGTCAAAACATGACAAAAATCTATGAGAAGCATACTATGCACTTTGGAGAGCTGAGGAGTGGGGGAGCAGGTACTGAGCAGGATGAGGACAGCCCTGGGTGATACAGGACTAGGCTGGGTGTACATCCAGGGTCCAGGACGCCCCAAGAATTTCCACCTTCAGCTGCATCTCAGGGCTGATTTCCTCCTGTGAGCTGGGAATTCAGGTCAGCCACCAGCACCTGTGCCAGCATAACCCCAACTCCCAAACACAGGAGAATTAATTGGTGGAGGAGCCATGCTGACTACTTGTAAGATCACAAGTTGCAGCTTGACCAGCTATATTAAACAATTTTAAAGCATAAACCAAGAAGAGTTCTGTGATAGAGATCAGTAGTATTCACAGCAACAGAGGAGGCTGCACTTGGAAGCAAAATGTGAAGATACACGGGAGTCAAAATGACCTGCTCACCTCAGAGTCACTCTTTTCTACCACTGTTGTAACAAGGAAGATGGGTGACAATATGTTTCTACCTCACTGTTCAACTTTTTCAGGTCATTAAGCAATGCAAATAGAAAAAAGATGAATATAAACCAGTCAATGACTCAACAGTATCAACCTCTGTCAATCATCTTCATCCTTACATATTCTATAATTACAACAGATGAAAGCTATTTTTCCTTTCTAAAAGATGAAATATGCATGATACTTTGTTAAACATGAAAATTTAAATCACCTAAAATCTTACAATGCAGCTGCTAGATAGATGCTGAACATCTCTGCCTTGAGAAATAAAACATTCCTACCTTGAAAATTTCATTGGGGTCTACTATTCATGATCTGTAAGCTACCAAAGCATGTACTATGGATAAAGGGCCAAAATGCAATTATTTGCCTCTGCAAACCTGGGACATCACAGAGGTTCCCAAGGATAGAAACTGGTCTGTGTATCGAAGAGCTTTTTCACGTTAAAGAGTGGGAAAAGGATATGCTCCAATGTCTGTGTTTTTTAACACAGGCAAGCATTTTTGAAAATTGCTTTGTATTTTATCAAAAGCTGGACAATCTTCAGCCCTCAGCTTCATCCAAGATAGAAGTAATTACTTCATGCTGCAGGGAGAGCTGGGCAGGACACCTGATGGAACAAACTGGATTTCCAAGCTAACAAGGAAGTTCTGATAGAAATTGGCTGGGATTGGCTCTTTCACTCAGTGAGGAGCTGCTTTCAGGTAAACACTGCAGCAAGAGCAAGTGCTTGTAGCAGGAGATTAGGGCAGGTTAAGTGCTTTAAGAGAGCAAAGTTAAACTTGGCACTGAAGTTTATTTTTGCATTGTTTAATCTGTAGAGTATATAATCATTTGAAGAAGAAAAAGTTCTACTAAAAGAAACACGTGGTAGAACATGCGTGTTTTGGTACTTCTTCACTTTCACAGAAAGAGAGGACCTGTTTTGTTGTGGTTTTTCAGTTACATGTGATGGAAACAAATTTTAAATGGTGAAAATGGGATGCCACCAGCTGAATTGCAACTTCATATTTTTGCATGCTAGCGGCTCAGTCTAGCAAACAAAAAAAAAAGCTATGTTTAACTTGCCTCTACCTAAAACAGGTTTTATTAAATATCCATGTACTAAGTAGTTTGTATGCTAAGACCTCAGAGACAGTCATGATACTTGCTTCTCATATTAGAGAATTACGGAGCTTAGCCTTTTTGTTTTGAAGAATAGAATCAAATAATAAAAGTCTGTTTAAAAAAATAAATGTTTTATACACCTCTCTGGAAGGCTGATTGTTTATGTTGAGAACTGTTATAGCTGTAAATAAGAGGTTTTTTCAGTTATTCTAGACTTCCTGTACCAGAAGAATACGTATTTAGATCAGAGCCATTCAAGAAAAGGCTCTGATCTAAATATGTAGTCTAAAAACTACAACTGGTCTCCACCTAAAAAATCGTAAAGCTAAAAGCAAATTTTAGTTCCTGACTTTTTGCACTGATAATAACGTTTTTAATGGAATCAACGTGTTCTGCCTTGTTAGCTGCATCCAAAATGCATTTTTTTCCAGGTGTTTCAATTACATTTCAGTCTCAGACTGACCCTTACTGTGTAAAGCAATGGTGTATTAACATTACTCCTACCACAGAAGTCTCCCAAAGGAGTTCTCTAAAGGGCTTACATCAGCCAAAGCACACGTCAGCACACCAAAAAAATATCAAAACTGCCATCTAGTGTTATGTTCAAGGTTGGCAAAGAGGCAGCACGACACAGGTAAGGCAGAGAGGTAAGAAGGGATAACCACAGCGATTATACAAGGCTGAACTTAGCTGATGTTCAAGACTATTGAAATCAGCTGATTTATGGGAACTTGAACTATTTGTACAAATAAGTGAAATAAATTCAAACAACGCAATTATATGTGAACAAAGCTGTTACAGAGAACCCCAAATATAAATTAGAAATTAAACTCCATTTAAATGGAGTTCAAATGTAACTTCATTCAATTATATTATTCTCAATTCCTACTAATTGATAAAGTGAAGCAATATCTGGTCTGTGTTTCCTAGAAAGTCATATCCATATTAGTATACTAACTCCTTCCTAACAAGTCTGACCATGTGTTTTCTTAGGAGGGATTGCTTATTGAGTCAGAGTTGTAGAGCATAAAGACATTAATAGTATAGCCAAGGAGACAGAACAAAAGCAGAAGCCAAAACTAATAAAGTTTATGTGTAGGAAGTTTATTTGCAGAAAAGTTGGGTACTTCTAAAAAGTTGTTTGGAAGTTCACTGTTGAAATACTGAAAGCATTATTTTGTTTCTAATAAAAATAAGTATCTCCCATTTTTTCAAGGGAAAGCAAGATAATACTGTAAAATATCACACATCACAAGTATATGCTTACTGTGACAACCTCATTATGAATGTTTTTTCTATAAAGATACAATTTATAACCTCAGTGAAAAGCAGAAAGGGCCACTTCCCATCACATCCAGGAGGGTTAAATAGGGCTGACTTCCTCACAACTTTCCAACGGGCCATCTGGTGTATGCTAAAGTGATACCAGGAATGCACGAAAAATACAAAATATTATTACTGCAACTGAAGTAACAAGATCTGGAAAGCATAGCTGGTGAGCAGGAAGGTAAGAAATCACGAGTGGGACACCTGCAGTTTAACTAGAGATGGAAGATGATTCACACAGTGTGGCTGTGCTATTGAATGCTGGGGGATTTTCAGACAAGGCAACATCTGCATGTGCCATGGCAAGATTGACAGTAACATGGTGCTGCCAGATTGGACTCTTCTTGCGTGCTTACCATATGAAAACCATTTGCCAGGTAAAAGTATGCAAGAGGAGCATCAGTAGGCTTTATGCACAGAAACGCACACACAGAACTGAAGTTTGGGGTCGGAGAGCTGAACAGACAGTACTGGAACTCACCCTGTGGCAAACCAGCATTATGCCTTCTCCTCACTATATTACTGCTTTTGTGCTTACCAATATTAAGTGAGTGTGATAACACAAGATGGGACTAGAAATAGCTTCTGATACACTCAGTCACGGCACTCTGGCATACAAACAACTGCCTCTGGAAGGAGCAGCCTACGGGATTCCCTCTTGCAGTACATTGGATAAAGCAGGTACATATCTCCACCATTGAAACAGTACTTTCTCCAAGATGCTGTTAATAGCTATTTTTACTTTCTACACAAAGACAGTGAAGACACAGCGACAGTAGCATCCATACGCAATCTGATGGCCATCTTCACAGAAGAGAGCAAAAAAAAGATGTTGAGGTGGACAGACTATAGCAGGAAAGAATTTCTGCTCATTTCCCCCCGAATAAATCAACTGTGCTTAGTCACATGGCTGTGGGGAAGATGGAATCAACTCTGCCACGAGGCAGCTGACTTTCAAACAGATACTTAAAAACACAATATCCATTGCTACTTGGTTAGAAGATCAGTAAGGATGGGATAACTTACTAGCAGCACCAGTCAGACTTCTCAATATGGCTTAATCACCCCATCAAACTGATGCTTCTGCCCTAATGGCAGCAAAAAAAAGCCAATAATTGTAATGCCACAATTGCTGAAATCTTCCTGTCTTGGAGAATTTCATCCTTAGCTATTAGGAGAGAGATAATAAGCCTATTCTTCTGGTTCAAATTATTTCTTATTGAATAAGCAAAATGGGGATTTTTTTTTGTAATGGATAATCAAAGCACAATCAGGAAAAGAAGTTTGTTCCCAGAATAGACAAGCACATTTTTGCAGTTGCAATTATATTTTATTCTCATTAAACTTTTTTTTGGTGGATTTTAGCTTGTTTTTTTTTTTAAATCAAAACACAGTCAAAGTTGAATTGCTATGAAAAATTATGAAAAAAGTTCAGGTAGATATTAATTTACAGTTGATTTATAAAGTTAGCACTTCACTTCAGAAAAGCATAATTTTCTTATTTCTGAAATTAACTTTCTTAAACAATTGTTTACATTGTTTGAAAAAAAAGTGACTCCCAACAGTAATCTATTATGTAAAGAAAGAGGTTAAGACAATTCAGAAACAAATAAATTCCTCAAAAGTGAAAATATGTCCTAAGCAATTCAAGTGTTCTGTTTTCTCATTTCTGTAATTTTTTCTTATTTAAAATTGTTACTTACAAATCATTATAGTTTTCTATGTCCAGATCACACATAGTATAACTGTCATAAGTTCACCCAAACATGTACCTTAATACCTGAATATCCAGTGACCATCACAAAGTTGGGCCCTGTCCTGCAATCAAGATCAGCTGATTTTAGCAGGACTCCCACAGGTTTCAGGGTATGCTGGCGGAGAACTCACTGTAACCTCATATTTCAGAGAATCCAAGGCCCCAATCCAGAAGAAGGCACCTTTCCTTGGTAAATTTACTACTTTCAACTGCATGTAACTGCTGTTAGTCAACTGTAGGAATCGGATGTAAAGGGAGAAGTATTAATCAAATCCAAAACTGCCGCTGTAGGATATCCAGTCTCTGTTTATAGTCAGGCTGAAGCATCTTGGAGGGGCCCATGAATGGCAATAGCTTCAATCTCAACTCGGGCACCCTGTGACAAAACGATGAAGGAACATATTAGGAATTTAATGTATCTATTTTATGAAGCAAGTGAATGTACAACACAACCTTGAAAGAACAGTGATATTTGAGAGAGATTACACTTCTGACAGATTTAGCAAGGTTAAGTAGTATTGACAATTCACTTTAGACTTACTCAAGTATCATAAGCCCTTACTTCTAGTGTTGTAGCTATCTTCCACCATAAAGAAATTTATGTCTCATATTCAGATCTCTGATAATGTGTGGGAATAAGACTGGTATACTTAGAAAAAAGCTTATTAGAAGTCTCCATTAAAATCATTGTGATTGAAGCTATTTCAGAATAAGAAAAGCCGTCAGAATGTTTCAGAAGTAAGGTATTTCAGAATGGGGTTTTTTTGTAGGAAAAAAAGTGACACTTACTTTGGGCAAAGCAGCAACTTGATAGGCTGCCCTGGCTGGAAAGTTTGCCTTGAAAACTGTAATTTAAACAGAAATATCCACTAATCACTGAACTTTGCTTGATAAAACACAGTTCAAAGTAATCTGTATAAAATGCAGTCAATTTGAACAGTTCAAGGCTACAAGTCTCCTGTGCCAGCTATCATTTTTCCCTTTTTGGTTTGTTTTGGTCACTGACTGCTTTCAGATCTCAGCAAGCCACCATTCATCACTAAGAAGCCAGATGCAGTTGTGATCTAGTGACCAGTGATACTTGCACTCTGCTGATACTGCAGGGTCTTAACACCAGCTTGGCTGAAAGTGAAAGATTAAATCAGAATGGTGATCTACAATTGCAAACACCAGGGAGTAGGAGATGGCTCTTTCATAGAAAGAGCAAGAGAGAGAAACAGGCCCCTGCCAGAAGAGTCATGAGCAAAGACCTCAGATTTATGCAAAGTCAACAGGAGTCCAAACTTACTCATTTCAAAGGAAAACAGAGAAAAAAATAGGCCCTTGGCCTATTCCTCTGTGCCCGCTTAGACCTGGCGCTCACAGGTGTTAGAACAGGGGGTGAAGCAGAGGGAAGGGTACTGGTAAAGATATAAGAGCTGAATTTGTAGAATCATAGAATAACTCAGGTTGGAGGGAACATTTAATGCTCATACAGTCATATCCACCTCCTGCCATGGCCAAGAACCTCTTTCCTTAGATCAGGTTGCTCAAAGCCCCATCCAACCTGACTTCAAACTTCCTTTCCAAGGAGTTTGCATAATTAAATGAAACTTTACTCAAAGCTGTTAATCACTAAGATAATAACTCACAATGAAAGAACAGCAACTGCTTTCTTGAACTACAGGTGGGAGGCAACACGTAACTAAGCATCCAGTTGGCCTGTTTTTACCCTGCTTAAACACACACACCATTCCATTTTGACATGCAGAAGACCATGTTGATTGCTCATCAATGAAAGACTTCATTCAAGATCAGATACCACTACCCAATTAAAGCCAAAGGGACATAAGGAACTCATGTGCATATTCCCTCAAATTCTTCTGCACAATATGGGTCATTGACATCACCTATTTCAGTTTACATTCAGTTTTGTTAACCAAGCATTGTTCTTTTTTTTTTTCCTCAAGTGGAGCAGTGTGGCTCATGTTTGTATAAAAAATGAGCCCTGTCCCATACCAATAACCCACAAATTGTTCAAAGATATAAACAGACTTTAAAGAAATGGAGATACAAAATCTAAAATTAAGTATTTGAAGGCTGCCTACAGTAGAATTATATTAGGGACAACAGAGCATCTATAGAGATAGAGGCATGGAAGATCAACCTGGAGGGATAGCAGGAGTTGATCTTCACAGCACAGTGAGTGAGTGAGATGGTAGGTCACAAATATACAAGAAATTAGGCTGTCCTTGATCTGATGTTTGCAAATGAATTTTTTAAAAATTTTTACTGGAATTTCAAACAATATGGAACCACATCATCTGAGTCATTCAAACACTTTGAATACCATGAATATAATTTGTTACACAAGCCATACTGGTAAAACAGAAACAAAACATCTACTTACATTGCTTATAAACATCATTAATATCATTGTAGTCCTTCATGTCTGCCATCAAAACCGTAGTCTTCACAACTGGAAATTATATAACTGCAGTTATTTTAGACCTGGGCCTTGCATACAAAAGTTGAAAAACTTTAATGCATTTCTCGCTTTTATTTCATAAAGTTCTCTTGAGTATTCTAAACATTTTGAAAAGTTTTCCAAACAGATATTGACCATTAGAGCTACAACCTAGAGAACCACCAAAAAAATCTGAGTACCTCGTATGTAAGAAAACTTTAAGGACTTGAGGCACTCCTGACCAGCTCTGAAAAAGCCAAAATCTTCCAAGAGACACAGAACTGACAAGCAAGTCAATTAAAAAAGCTGTTGTAAACCAACTGTTGGCAATAACTTATATCATATATAATATCTGTTGTGAAAAAAGTCCATAAAAAAGGCCTGAAAATAGAGTCTATGCTAGAATTTTTTGCCCGTGACTGTCTAAGCCAGCATTAATCCTGGTTTGGCTGACTATTAGAGTCCCCCCAATAACAGTACTGAGAGTGTCTAGAATATTAACACCATAGACACAAACCTGCTTTTACCTGGAGCAAAGCCTAGGATGCTTAAAATGCCTGTAGGCAGGTGCAGCTCTGTCTATACCTAAGCTTTCCCAGCTGGAGTTAAAGTATTAGTACCACTGGCAGAAACTTTCAGTGAAGAGTAGTGTTCCATTGATATGCATTGCAAAGATCACTTTAAAGGTCACTTGATTTTTTTTTGTATTATAATTCAGGTAAAAACAACTACTTGTTTGCCACCATCATAGCACCACTTACCATTGCCATAGTCACAGCCTGCAGCTTTCAGGATTTCTCCCATGTTTTTTAGAGCCTAATGAAAAATGAAACAAAAATCTTTTAACTATCAGCTGGGTTATATTTATGTAAGTATGCAAACATGACTTGTAACCTGGCTGCATCCATGTTATATTGTAAGTTCACCCAGCAAAACCTCAACTGTCAAAACTGACCAAAATAAAAACTAATAAAAGTGAGCCTCTAATAAACCATAAATATTAAATCATCCATTCATTAGACGTATATTTATGATGCAGCTCCATCTCATCCTATTCCACCTCTTTGCTTCTGGGGGAGTAAATCTTTCCCCAACTCAAGCCAGGGTTTTTACTGGGGTGTGAACCTTTGTTACAAACATTGATTCTTTCTTACTTTCCTACATAAAAACACAGATTCCTCCCCTGACCTCCAAGTTGTCCAAGCAGAAAAAAAACAGGGTTAGGATGGAATGACTTTTTCTTGCTTTTTCCTCATCTGGAGGATGTAAAATGCACTTTCTAATCTTCTCAATTTCTCACAAGTCCACATTTAACTAAACACATGCCAATCCCAGTACAAGTTCATTGCTAGAAGACTTCTTACCTGCTTAGCTTCCTCCTTTGCCCCTCCAGAGACAAGCTGCCCGGTGGAAGGTTCCAAGCCTATCTGTCCCGCAATGTACATTGTCCGGTCCACCAGCACGGCTTGGCTGAAAACACAAGTCACATTGCAGGTTTAATGTTTCCCCATGAAAACATCCAAGTATCTGAAAGCACATTTCAAATTTTCTACAGTAGTTTACAATATCTCAGAAAGAGGACTGAGGTTATGCACACACAAGTTTGTACACACAGTCATACACTCAATAGGTGTATGCTTTTGGAAGTGCTGGGGTTAGGCCATCTATGGAATTGCATAGACCTGTTTTTGAGGAAATAAACCCCATTTCTTGCAAAGATTCAGCAACACAACACTAAACTGACCTATAGATTCCACACTGCAGATAACACAGAAGCAAGGCAGAATAAATAGACATTTTTTTGCACACGTCCAGACAAATATTCCATCCTAGTTTGAGAAGCAGACAATACCTTTTATCTATATCTCAGCTGCAGAGCGATGAGGGGAAGGAAGGGGAAAAAAAAACAAACACAAAAGAAATAAAAATCAAAAGAGGGCTCATTAGAAAATTTAAGAGTTTTCCTCTCAAACAGGCACCACTGTAACAAGTTACAGCTGTGAGGTGACACCCTGCCCACTAGTTCTTTGGCAGTATTCCTCCATAGTCATGAATTTGGCCAGTCAGCAAAACATCTTGATCACTCCATCCCCAGAACAATCACTTTCCTCTCACCAAATAACCTGAGTGACCTGTTGGCTGGGTTAATTCAGAAGAATGCAGAATTAAAGCTAGTTGCAAAACATTTTTATATAAATGTCAGGTGTGTTTTTGTTGAAGTAGAATTAGCAATTATTAATGTCTTTAGTTATCACAAAGAGATTAAAAGATCAAAACAAAGATTTAAACTACCTAGCAAACATTATGCAAGAAACATAATTTAATTCTCTTCAGCTAGTAATTAAAAATATTTTGCAAAGGAATCAGAAAAAGATTTTTTGAAAGTGTTTGTGGTGTGTAAACACCGTTTTTCTTACCTCTTCCATTCCACAAGAAAATGCACTGTTTTAACCATTCAACAAGTCTCTCAAGCTACATAAACTACTCAAGCACCTCCCTTAAGTATCTGAAGGAGTTTAGTTTCCCTTAAATGTCAGTAGAAATAAAAATGGACACTTTCAGAGTACATTTTTATGACATCTCTTCTCTCAATTGAGATTGACTCAGTTGGATTGTCTCAATCCAACCTCACAGGTGACACACCTGATTTAGGGACTCAGTAAAATGATTAGGGTCAGGCACTTCAAACAGGGCCATCATTCCCATCTTTCCTTTTATCCCTGTCCTACATTCTCCTGTAATTTCATAAGGGGAAAAACAGCCAGTAACTTATTGGATGTGGTAAAATATCTCACGTGACAACTATTTCTTCTGTCATCAACTAACAAAACTGGAGTAAATCACAGAACTACACCATTTAAAGACAAGAAATTAGTGAATAAAGTAGTTTTCCAGCCGACACAGTCTTTTTGATAGAAAATATGGGCCTGTACACACACGCTTCTTTAATTTTCTTTCCTACCATGTCCTGCTTTGTTTGAGGCACAGGCCCTCAGCACATAAACTTCTGCTCTGTTTGAAGCACAGAGAACCATGCAACAAGAAGGTATGAGCCCTCTAAAGAAAAAAGACATTGTCTTGTACTGCTTATTATAAAATAATGACATGACAAGATGTTTATCTCAACAGAAGCCTTAGGAAAATCCTAAATCACAAATAACTAGGGAAAAAACAAGCTGAAGCCTTCTGATACCAGTGCCAGACCAACATCTGCAACAGCCTTATTGGGTCTCCTTCTCTGCTCCTCCTCAGCTTCCTTCTCTTGCTATGCCTACTGACGGATTCCTCCATTGACTGAGACTAGTAACAATTTACCAACCAAGGGGTACAGTTCTACTGCAGTCCAATGCATGAGTGAAGCTCAGAGAAACTTCAACCACACAAACCCCAATCAGATGTACCCTGCAACTAGAGTCAATCGTAGGTACTCATTAATCTCAATCAGCAGAAACCTGATTGTGTGTCTAAATGCATAACTGGATAAACACTGTGACCTTGGAAGAACATTGTCCATCACAGAGATGGTGTTTAAAGACAAGCACTGCAAAGTTAAACAGATTTTCTTAACACAAATGATTGTGAATTAATACAAGAACAGTATCTCTGCAATGTCTTTTAAAAGGTTAATAACATTAATGAGATATATACACAACATTAAAGATACCTATATATACACATCACATATATGTGTCTTTTTAAATATCTGTCTACCTACCTACCTATCTCAAGGTACTGGCAAATGGATGCAGTAAAGGAAATAGAAAAATACAGTAAAAATTGGTCACCACAAAGCATACTGAATGGCTGTAGCAGGGCCAGAAATGCATCCCACACATCCTAATTCTTCATTCCATATTAAGCCCACATTCCTGTGTTACCATGCTCGAACTTCACAGCAGAGATATGGCAGTTATTTCTTGTGCAACTTCTGCTCACTGGACTTTGACAAGTTTACTGAAATCTGATAAACTAAGTTAGTGATAAACTTATTGATGTTAGACCTGTTGTACAATTAACAGGCAGCATAACAAGAAGTATTTCATCAAGAACTATCAGTAAGCACAAAATGCTGGAGTGCAGTTAATCCACAAAAGAAGTGGAGAGCTATCCTGAAGACTGGGCCAGTGTGGTGTGTGTGTGTGCAGCAGAAGAATCATCGCCTTTCCATGTCTTAGATGTTCTCTTAACGCCAAGCAGTGCAAGGCCCCTGGCTGCAGTACAATAACAGTTTATTGTTTACAGAAGTTAACCTTCACGTCATGTCTCTCGGCTTCCATACTTTGTATTTTTCCATCTTTATAATGCCTATAAGGAACACATAGTTTGAAGCTCAGAAAGCTCAGGACACAAAGTAATGGAGACAAAAATGCACCTGGAAGGCAATAAGGTACTACTGGGAACACAAAGACTGAATGCAGAATTAAAATTTCGTATAAAATGACCTAGTAAAAACCCTTAGCTACCTTAGCTATAAGAGTATGCTATACCGATTGAACTTTTTTTCCTCATCCATATAGTAAAGTGAAACCTTTCTGCAAATAAAAGTGGGATTTTTCTTCTTTTTAAATTACATGCAGATCTGCTGCAACAACAAACTTGTGAAAACGTTGAACATCTTACATATTTTTACAGCAGTTAGTTTTTAGACTGAAAAGCATTTATAAACATTCAAAATAAGAAAGGATCCGCAATTCTGAGGCACTGAACTCTCCATCTGTCCAAGCTCACCCTGGATCGGGCTCAGCCTTCCCTCTCCATCGCCTCCATAGTCAGCACTCTCTGTAACTTCCCTGCGCAACACGCTTGTCTCTAGGCAAACACATTTTCCTGGAGAAGAATCATTCTTGCTCTTGCAGTTTATTTTTCATTCACTTCTTGCCACTAATTTCAGAATTATTTTCCCAAACTGACTTCTGGAGGGGCATTTAAAAATGATTAGGGGACATCCCCCAGCATGGCACTGCAGCCCCACTCTACTGCAGGACTCCGGGTGTCCCAGGGGTTACCAGGGAGGGGACCAGCCCCTGCTCAGGGGTCCTGCCCTCACCTCAGCCTCAGGGCTGCCTGACAGACCCTACTGGGACCTGCCGAAACCCCACCAGCAAAATATGCTTCTGCTTCTCCCAAGAGACGTCTCCCTCACAGAATCACAAAATTGTTAGGGTTGGAAGGGACCTCTGGAGATCATCCAGTCCAACCCCCTTGCTAAGGCTGGGTCACCTATAGCAGGATACACAGGAATGTGTCCAGGTGCGTTTTGAATGTCTCTAGAGACGGAGACTCCATGACCTCCCTGGGCAGCCTGTTCAGTGCTCTGGTACCCTCAATGTAAACATCTTCCTCATGTTGCAGTGAAACTTCTTGTGTTTTAGTTTATGGCCGTTGCTTCTTGTCCTGTCGCTGGGCATCACCAAAAAGAGTCTGGCACCATCCTCTTGGCACATGCCTTTGAGATACTTACATGTACTGATGAGATCCCCTCTGTCTTCTCTTCTCTAGACTAAACAGGTCCAACTCCTGCAGTCTCTCCTCACAAGAGAGATGCTCCAGGCCCTTCATCATCTTTATGGTCCTCTGCTGGACCATCTCCAGTAGCTCCTTGTCTTTCTTGAACTGAGGAGCCCAGAACTAGACAAAGTACTCCAGACGTGGCCTCACTAGGGCCAAGCAGAGGGGCAGGATCACCTCCCTCAATCTGCTGGCCGCACTCTTCCCGATGCACCCCAGGATACCATGGACCCTCTCGGCCGCAGGGGCACTGCCAGCTCATGGTCAACTTGTCATCCACCAAGATTCCCAGGTCCTTCTCAGCTAAGGCATTACCTGTAGGGACCCAGTGCAGGGGCCTTGGTAGTGCTGATTATTTTCTTCATGAGCGAGGTCATAGCTGGCGCTGGCGCTGGCGCTGCCGTCGGTGCCGGTGTTGCCGGTGTTGCCGTCGGTGCCGGTGTTGCCGTCGGTGCCGGTGTTG